AAACATGACTCAACTTTAAGGTTAATCTGAATTATTATTAATATAGCATTTTCTATTTCACTTTTCTAAGTCCAGACAATCAACAAAACGCTAAATTAAGCCCTGAGTTTTATCAGTTGCAAATCTCTTGCAAAGTACTTTCTTCAGGGCTGCTTGCAAGGCCAGCAGGACGCCAGCAAGGCAGTGGGAATAGCGCCTCCCCGCCAGCGCCCCCCAGCGCCCTCCCCCCCCAGCGTCCTGTCACCCGCCGCCTGCCAGGCCACGTGCTCCAGCTCCGTAGGCCAGCGCTCACCAGGCACCACGCAGCGCGCCCCAGCGCCTCCCCGCAGCTCGGACTCCCGCCAGAGGCCCCCACCGCCAGTGCCCCCCAGCTCACGGCAGCGCCCTCCTCGCCGCTGAGGGCACCCCGCGCCCGGCGTGGCACTTCTACACGCGTAAGCGTCTCTGGTCTCCAGAGCGGCACGTCTAAAATTTGCACAATGATTAGAAGGTAATAGATCTAGAGGATTCATGACCTTTGATTTTAGTATAATGTATTTAATGTTCGCGTGATTTACTTTTATAGCGACTGTGCTTAAAAACCGGCTTGTGTAATTCTTCAAAACCTATTGGCTGTCTCTTTGAGCTGGTGCGAGCTACCTCCACACCATTGCTATTAATATTTTAAGGAAGAATTTAGAAACGTTGGTTAATCCTACTTAAATGGTTATATCTAATAGGTGTTCCAACTGGGGAGGGGGGAAACGCTCATCAGATGGTGTACAGAGAGCGTCCGGCCTGCGCGGCCCGGCCGGCCTCTGACGCTCGCCAAGGCCAGCCGGGAAGAATGCGAGCGCGGGACGGCGCTCCAGGTGCGGGCCCGATGCTCCAGGAGCGGGCCGGACGCTCCAGGTGCGGGCCGGACGCTCCAGGAGCGGGCCGGACGCTCCAGGTGCGGGCCGGACGCTCCAGGTGCGGGCCGGACGCTCCAGGTGCGGGCCGGACGCTCCAGGTGCGGGCCCGACGCTCCAGGTGCGGGCCCGACGCTCCAGGTGCGGGCCCGACGCTCCAGGTGCAGGCCCGCCTGCGCGCTCCACGGATGGTAACAGAGGTTGCTTCTTTGGAATGCGAACTCTGGACTCCGGGTTCCCCCCTGCCAGCTGGCTCTGCGTCTTGTCCAACTTCTATCTCTGTTTTCTCATCTATTAAATGGAAGACTGGTAAGGCAAGTTTGTAGGGGCCTGCTAAAGTTCTGCATGCAATGTTTTAGAGTATGCCTGACACATACCATGTGGTAGTTACTACTGTGGAATCTTTAGATCAATAAAATATTAAATATACCCCCAGTTCTGTGTATATTTCTCTCTTTACTCCCTGATCCTAGAAGTCAACAATTATTTTTACAGGGAATGAAGTTTGAGTATGCATTTTGTATAATCCATGCTAATGATGTAGTTAATTGAACAAAGAAAATGGGCTTTAGAGAAAATCTTCTGGGAGTTTGACAAATCTTGTAAATATTCTAAATCCCTCATAGAGACATTGCCTAGAGCAGTGTAAATATGATGGTGCAGGGATTTAGAGAAAACCATGTTGAAACGTGTCACTGATGCTTAGTTGTTCAACTTTAGAAGTTTCCTTCTATCTCTCTGAATTTTAGTTTACTCCCTTGTAAAAATATAAATTATAAAGATGTTATTTCATCTGTAAATATGACAGTATTTACCTCTAAAGGATGATGACTTTTATTAAAAAGATGTATAACCAAGATATCATTATCACACATTAAAAGAAAATTAGTAAATTCCACAGGATTGGGAGGGAGATTGGAGACACGTTATCACTCCATGCTATTAACGTCTAGAGAGGCTTATGCATACAGTCATTGTTGCAATTAGGTAAATATATTTTTCTTGTGCTATGGTCTGAATGCTTGTGTTCCTCCCAAATTCATGTGTTGAAATCCTAACACCCACAGTACTGGTACTAGGAAATGGGGCTTTCTAGAGGTGGTTAGGTTATGCGGGTGGAGCCCTCAGGATGGGCGGAGCTCCTTTGTCCTTTCTGCAGTTGAGGAGGCACAGGAAAGACAGCTGTGCAGGAACCAGAGTATCAGCTCTCGCCAGACGCTGGCGCCTTAATCTGGAGTGCCCCATCCTCCAGAACTGTGAAAAATAAATGTTTGTTGTTTTAAGCCACCCAGTTTATGCTCTTTTGTTATAAAAGGCTGAATGGGCCAAAACAACCTCCTTGTGTCTAGAGTATAATGACAAATAGGTGAGTCTACACCTACCTCATTTAGGTGAAAGGTAGTTAACAGAAGTAATATGCCTGAACATTTTCTGCATGCTGTGGTTTTGTTTTTGTTTTTTTTTAAAACCAATATCATTGAGTTGATACTGGAGTTTTAGGTAAATAAAGGTTGTAAACAGCTCCACAGAAGTTCCCTAAATCACCTGCACCTCTATGTATAACTGGATTAACTGTCTCCCAAATGGTATAAATCCAAGTGTGAGGCATTACCTGCCCACATTTCAGATGATATTTAAGACAACCAGAAGGGTCATTCCTGAGTCCTTTTATTTGAAGCCCTTGGAGATTGTATAGTTTAATAACTTTATTTCCTATTGTAAGAAATTCACTGATTTTTCTTTCCATCAACAAATTTAAGTTTAGCACCCCAAATGCATGGCATTTCCAGTGTTTTGAACCTGTTCAAATATGGCTTTCTATGCCCCTTTTAAACTGTTTTTCACTCTTCACAATGCTGTTCAGTAGCCAGATAATTCATGTGACCAATGTTATCGAGTCCAGGAGATGGTATTTGCGTCTCTAATTACAGCCCCTGATTATTGTGACAGTTAGTTCAATTGTTTTGTGATTTAATTAATGTTGCAAATAGAATCTGTTCTGTGGTCATGACTCAACTGAGGCTGCTATTGAAGCTGATGAAGGCAACAGAAATGATTGCACCACTTCATATTTATAATTGTAGCTAACTTGGTCTTCTTTGCTACCTCAAATTAGAGCTTATTATGTATGACCTATAAAGACTCAAAGTTTGTCAGGCTCACAGACTTGCCCCGAAAATTTAGCCCCTTGTGGCCATAAATACCATATACAAAATAACATAGGTCAAGGGGGGGCAGTGTACAAGTTGTTCATTGCTTTTCCTTTTATTTCTTTTGTTTTAGGCTTTCCTGTGACGAAGTGGAACAAGGGCAAGATGAAGAAGAGAGGAGAAGGAGAGAGAGAGAGATAGCAGGAGAGAGAGATAGGGAAAGATAGAAGGAGAGGGGGAGAAACACAGAAACAGAGAGACAGCACAAGAGAGAAAGAGGTAGACGAAGAGACATAGAGACAGAGAGAGTTAGAGAGACAGAGAAAGAGGAGTAAAGGAGAAGAGAGAGAGAATTAGAGGGAGGGGCAGAGATAGAGAAAGAGAGATTGATTCAGATTTATTATTTTTCCTTCTTAAATTATCTGGTAGATGTCCAAGGCATTCTTAGGTTACACAAGATATTGAAATAGTTCAGTTTTCAAACAGGGTCTTAAAAACTTGAATTGCTAAATTGTATTTTGAAACATATTTTTGTAATGACTGTTATCTCTTAGATGTGATTATTTCCTAGGAATTTCTACCATTATTCATAATTAGACATTTCCGTCTCTTAGCCAGCTATCAAAAACTCATAATTACTTTGATGATTGATTCATCCATTTATTCCGACAACTAGATCAACTATAATATCTGACCCATTCTATGTGCCCTACTTATAGTGGAACACATGTAATTTTACTTGAAAAGTAAACGAATGATATGAAATCTCATAATTAAAGTTAGGCAGGCTCTGCCACGGGTATGTGCTATTATTCCCAAATATCTGTGGATCAAAAAGAAATTATGGCTATTGTATTCAACTATCATTTGCAGTTCAACTTGACCCTTTGGAAAAGAAGATGAGGTAGGAAGAAAAAAACAACAGTTCACCCTTTGCTTTCTTATATCAAAGCACTTTTATATCAGGCATGAAAATCCAGCCCATTGACACTTCCTCCTTCTCCTACAAGGGCGATACACTCACCCAAATTTTGGATAAATGCAGTTGCCCCAAATCAACTGATTGCCATTTGTAAGTGGAATCCTTCACTTGCACTGAATGTAAATGGCACAGCCCGTGCCGGCCACAGGCGCATGGCGCGCCTTCCCTTTGCCGCGACCAAGTCCTCGGACCGCCCCGTGCGGGACGCGGGACATGCCAGGAGCGGGCCGGGAAGCGGGAGCAGGGACCGGGGACACTCCAGGAGCGGGCCGGGACGCGGGAGCAGGGACGAGGGAAACGCCAGGAGCGGGCCGGGAAGCGGGAGCAGGGACGAGGGAAACGCCAGGAGCGGGCCGGGATGCGGGAGCAGGTACGCGGGACACTCCAGGAGCGGGCCGGGATGCAGGAGCAGGCACGCGGGACACGCCGGGAGTGGGCTGGGACGCGGGAGCAGGGACGCGGGACACGCTGGGAGTGGGCTGGGACGCGGGAGCAGGTACGCGGGAAACTTGAGGAGTGGGCTGGGACGCGGGAGCAGGTACGCGGGACACTCCAGGAGCGGGCCGGGACGCGGGAGCAGGCACGCGGGACACTCCAGGAGCGGGCCGGGACGCGGGAGCAGGCACGCGGGACACGCCAGGAGCGGGCCGGGACGCGGGAGCAGGGACCCGGGACACGCCAGGAGCGGGCCGGGACGCGGGAGCAGGGACCCGGGACACGCCAGGAGCGGGCCAGGACGCGGGAGCAGGGACCCGGGACACGCCGGGAGCGGGCCGGGACGCGGGAGCAGGGACCCGGGACACGCCGGGAGCGGGCCGGGACGTGGGAGCAGGGACCCGGGACACGCCGGGAGCGGGCCGGGACGTGGGAGCAGGGACCCGGGACACGCCGGGAGCGGGCCGGGACGCGGGAGCAGCGCCCGCGCGGAGCTGGCGAGAGTTGGGTTCCCGCACAGGACTGCTCCCCTGTTCCCGCTGGCGTCCGCGGGAGTTGAGCCGGTGTCTGCGCGCTGGCCACGGGAAAGGACAGAGAATGGAAAGTAAACGAATCACCTCACGTTCCTCACGGAAGAACCGTCTTATGGGGAAAGAAGGAATGAAATCCACGCGACTAGCTTTCCGGTAAGAGGCCGCTCGAGCGCGGCTGCGCGTCCGGACGCCGTCTAGGGTGGCGGTTGCTACATCGATCGGCGAGATTTCCTCGTTTTTCCTGTTGCTTTACGGGTGGAAACTTTCTCTTCCGCACATTGCTCTTACTTGTGAGGTTAGTTACTTCTCATTTAGAGTCAACTGGGGAAAGAAGTCCAGGACTGCGCGCCCCGGCGCCCGGGAGACCCCGCGCGGCGACCGCGGTGCCGTCTCGGAGCCACAGGCTCTAAAAATGACATTTTAGCTCCATCTTGGTAATGCCGGGTAACTGTCATTTGTCAATTATGTGTTTCACCCTGGGAGCTCAAAACATCCCAGCACACATCAGTCCTAATCACTGTGACGTCAGGCCTTGGCATTTATTCCCGCCGTGTTGATTAAATGTTGCCCACTAATAGTTGATAAATTGATTTGTAAAAATGTAAGGACGAGTCCCTGACCTATGATAAATGGGTCAAAAAGCATAGATAAGTATACTATTTATTTTATATTCACTCTTTTTCTGGAAATAATAAAATCAGTGATATTCCTTTTGACCAAAAAACACTCCCTAAAAGTATAATTAGTCAAAACAGTTCTCAGTAACAATATCTACTAAGTAATTTTTGTTGGAAATTATGTAATTTGGTAGGAAACATTCAATTATTTTGGGGTCCAGAATTTTTTGTTTAAATGCATAAGATTTTCATTTTTTTCCCATGCTGTATAAGTTGGGCAGGATTTATATAAAATTAAAGAAGTATTTCCATTTAATACAATAATGTGAAAATACCATAAAATTTTAGGCTAATAGTTGACGGTACTAGGTAACATTTTAGTTTATATTAAAATTTTCTTTTCCAAATACTGAAAACAAGAGTAATCATCCAGAATGTTTAATAACAGAAAAATTATTGCTCTTAAATTATAATTAGATATAAACTCTCTATAGTCCTCTTTGCCAAAGAGATAACCTTTGGGGAATTTGCTGTGGTTATAATCATGTATGTTACCAGTTAGTTATGTGACTGAATCCTTTTTGGAGTGTTGAGTTCTATTGTCAGGCTTGTCTTTCTTCTAGTTACGTGGTCAGCCACGGTAGTGGGCTGACTAATGGCCACCCAGAAATGTTACTAATCCCTGCCACCCATTCATGCCACTTTATAAGGAAGTAAGATCTTTGCAAGTGGCATTAAGTTAAAGGTCTTGGGATGAGATCATCCTGTGTTGTCTGGGGAAGCTTCAAACCCAGTCACCAGTGCCTTGTGGCACGCAGGGACGGGAGGGCCGGCCCCACAGAGGAGGGAAAGGCTCTGCTCTGCGCGGGCAGAGAAGGGGTGATCCAGGCCCAAGACAGAGAGTGCCGGAAGAGACGCCAGGAGGAAGGGATTGGCCCCTAGAGCACTCAGAGGGACGCTGGCCCTGCTGACGCTTTGACCTCCACTTGGTGCAACTGCACTCAGACTTCTGGCCTTCAGAACTGTAAGAAAGTAAATTGCTTCTGTTTGAAGCCGTGAAGTTTGAGGCAATGTTTTTGCAGCAGCCTGAGGAAGCCACTGCGGGCAAGCTCTGAAAATTGTGCTCAGCTGTGAATGAACAGCCTAGAACCGCTGAGAGCTGCGCTGTGAATAGCCAAAGAGGGAACATCACGTGGTGATGCCATGTCATTGCCCTTCCTGGTACAGTGGAAACAGATATTGGAAGCACTAAATAAAATAAACAGCAATAGCTACTTATTAATCATTTATATCAAAAACTCATTAAAATAATGTTTAAATACAATCACATATGCACTTTTAAGATTGTGTACCTAAAACTTCTAAATTGTGAGCCAGTTTTAATGTTAAAAATAATACATGGAATTGCTGAAAAAAATAAAACAATAACAATGTGAAATTAGAATTAAATTTCTCCCATCTGCATTCACATCCGCTTTCTAAGAACCCAGTGTCCGACACCATACCAAGGGGTATTGTGTGTGTGTATTCTTCTAGAAATTTAAATTCATATGCTTCTATCTATGTATCTAGAGAGAGAATTCTTTTTCTTTGAGCAATAGCATCAAAACTTTAACTTTAAATGTGTTTTATATATTTTTGTTTTGTCTGTGGATAACTGTGTCCTCTTCCTTAGCTCTCACTTCTAGGTTCGTGTGCTTGTTTAGGTCAGAGTGTTTTAGTAATCTAATCATCTTATTCAGGCGACACCAGGTCTCTTCATGGAAAATCAAAGGGCAAACAGAAGTATTCTTGGTCTCTCCTCCTGATGACTCCTCTCTATGTCCCTCCTAAAATGTCACTTGTGTATGGGGTGAAGAAGGGTTTGTATTTTTCTTGACCTTCTTGTAAAGGAAATGACCAAGTTCTTCTGGCCCATGTGGTCAATGAATGTTCTTTCTTGCTTCTGAGACAGCATAGACAGTCTTGATGACGACCTCCGCGATGCTCAGAGGAAGACCTCGACAGGACCAGTCTCCAGGCAGCAAACACGACTAAGCATCCGCATTTATCTTTCCTTTTCTCCTTTCTCTCAGTGATTGTTGCTGCTTTAGCAATGAATCATCTAAACCAAACAAAAACCTAATGCCAAAACTCTAAGCTAAAAAACAGAAAAACCAAAAGCTCTGCTCTAACTTCTTATCCCACAGGTATTTTGCAGGTGACTTCTGATGGTTTTGCCGCCCACACTGCTATCCATTCCTCGTTTGAGATCAGGCAGCTCACAGCCGCTGCTGCCTCCCACTCTCCTATGTCCGCTTCTTGTCCCGCTGCTGGTTAGGTAGCTTTTCTTCTCCTTTCTATCCTTGTTTCTTCTTTACTGCAAGGAGCTGGCCTAGCTGTCTTAGGCAAATGCTGTGTCTGTCTTCAGACAGTTGGAAAACCGTAGCAGGTAGCTGCTATAATATCGGTCCCTAACATGCAAAGCGCTGCTGAAGGCATCCGGGCAGCCTAGCCAGCTCCTTGCTGTGCACGTGCATTTGCATTGCAGAAGCTGTGTGTTGCTTCCCTCCTTCTTCGGTATTTTTCAGTCTTCCTGAATCTCTACCAGTGCCTGCCCCCTCCACCAAATTACACGTCCTATGTAGCTGGACAGTTCAAGATAATTATTTTGTTATACATGCAATCCCACACTCACACACTATTTGTTTGCTTTCCTACCATGTAACACCTACCAAAGATCTTTCCCTCCCGGCTAAGGTCAAGTGAGCTGGCGGCCTGCTCCACAAGTCCTGGGCCAGATGCCAGCTGGGCCTGAGCCCTATTTGTCTGTCGCAGCAGCACACCGAACCCAGCCTCCCAGGGCGGCGGGCTTTCTTGCCCACAGACGGCGAGGCGGTTCCAGGGGCCCATGGTGCACAGGTGCTGGGGTGCAGCTCTGACAAATAACTGTCACCCAAACCTAGATGACTGTGTGTCCTCAAAGATGTCTGCTCATTTTTCCATTGAGAGGGACATTTACTGATGAATGCCTTATGAAAAGTGTAGTGACAAGTTGTCCCTAGTAAGGAAGGATGTTGAATACTGACACAACAGGACCTAGGTATTTTCAAACAGCCCCACCCCCGCCGCCTCTCTGGAGTTATGGGAAGACGGGGCACCTGTGCTTCCTATTCTTTGGCTGGTCATTCATGGCATAGTAAGATTCCCCTTTCCCCAGTAAAGCTCATTTCTAAATCTGCAGTGCAAATCAGACCGAACCTGAGTACATGGCCAGCGGTGACCTAGGGACACTCACCTTCGTGGCATCAGCTCGTGTAGAATGCTGTCATAGTTTTAGAGACTATAGAGTATGCTACTTTATAAAGTACACTGTAATTGTTTAATAAGTTTGTTTCACAGTCTATTCTGTTCTCACTTGTATGGTACATGCATGTCTTGGTTTAATTTACACATGTATAAAGGGGATAATCAATCTTCCTGTTCAAAACAGGAAGAAACTTGGGGCACTGGTCTTTCTAGGTCTCCAGGCAGGATTTATCAAGGGTATTTTTTCTCTTTGTTTTACTTGTTTTCAAATTATATGAAGTGTTTCTTTAAAAAGTTTTGAACACTAGAAATGTAGCAGAAGGAATAAAACAACATAATCATACCATCTACGCAGTTATTGTTAACATTTCATGATGTTTGCTTCCAATAATTTGAAGCTCTGTATTTTACATAACTAGGGTAGTGTATGTTTAATTTTGTAACCTGATTTGTAAATTTTATTTTTGTCTAATCATTTTCCGTTTTGCTATAAACCCATGTTATCATTATTTTCATCGATTTCATATATGTAGTTTTAATGAGTATTATAATTTACTTAACCATGCCCGTATTTTTAGATATTTTCATGCTTTTAACATTTTTATTATAATAGTAGCATAAGGAATACATTAGTATATGAAATATTTTCTACATTTTAGATATTTTAAGACATTATATTTATGTGATCAAAATGATTAGAAGAAAATTTACACTAATTTACATTTTCATTTCCATTTTACTTTAATTCTTATTTTATGTGTCATTACCAGTGATAACTTTCTGTTCATACATGTGCACACATACTCATGTACCTGACATATACATGACATAGAAAAACATATACTGAAACCACTTTAAAATATTTACTAGTATGGTAAGCCAGAGCATAACTCATTTTGATTTTTATCTCTTTTGATTGGCACTGATTATGAACAAAATTTAAAGAGTACTAAAGAGAATGAATAATACCACCAAAAAAAAAAATAGATGTAATTAGTAAAGCATGGAATGAAAATTAATTTATTGACAATAATTATGCACTTCACAGGTGTCCTGTGGGGCACAGCTGGGATGAGACTTGCAGAGACTTACCAAGACTGGCATATATTAAACACTTGATAATTTGCAGGGCCTGTACTTACCTCCCAAGACATGGTCCAAATTATGGTCTTTGAAATGAGACAGAATAAATTCAGACCCTTTTATGCATGAGCGTTATTCAGATATTTGAAACCAGGTGTCACGTCTCTCTTCAGTCATTTTTATATTCCTTTAAATATCTCTCATAAAATAAATTTCTTGGTGATTCATTTGATCAATGTCCCATTAATGTCCCTTTCTATCCAATATGCTCATGTCTACACTATTCTATACATCTCTCAATTCACTC